AACTAGTCCCTGTCCATGTCATGTTCTATATATATATTTTTTTTAAATGGTACTGGTTCTATTTCCATTAACGGACAAGGAAACACAAAAGTGAGCTGAGTCAAAAGGATCAACAAGCAACTATAAACCAGAGACACAGTGGGGTGGGGGGAGGAGGGATTAGGGTCAAAATAAGGGGGGTGGGAATTGTAAGGGGAATATAACCAAAATGAAAATGCATACATTGTGCAAAAATGAAAAATTATGTAAGAATTATATAAAATAAAATATATTTTTTAAAAAAGTGGGCTTCTCACAATTGTGTTGTCCCACAGTCAAAAAGTAACAATCCTCGGGCCTCCCAGGTGGCGCAGCGGTAGAGCGCTGGGTTGCGAAGCTGCCCGCGGCCTCTGTGGCGCCGGTTCAATTCCCGGCTGCTCCCCGGCCACCGGAGGAGGGTCCCACATGGCGCGCAGACCTCTCCTGCCGCCCGCTGCTCCCCTCAGCAGTGTACTTCGGTCCTTCTGCCTGCTCTGCTCCCTACTCTGGCTCTGGTGAATTCTTTCACCCTCCCGCGCTTCTGACTGTACCCAGTGCATGTATAAACAAAACAAACAAACAAATAAATAAATAAAAACATGCCTCTTTAAAAAAAAAAAAAAAAAAAGTAACAATCCTCAAAACCTTTCACCTCCTGACTGGAAATGCTCTAAAAGTTTCAAAAATCCAATTATCTTAACAAAACAGTTCAAAAACTTTTAGTTTGGGCCTCCCCTGGTGGCACAGGCAGTTGAGCGCAGCGCTGTGAAGCTGTCCACAGCCTCTGCAGCGCGAATTTGATCCCAGCCGGCAGGAGAGGGTCCCACATGGCGCTGCAGACCTCTCCTGTCAGGCCGACTGCTCCCCTCAGCAGTGTGTTTCATCAGTCTGCCTATTCTGTGCCCCTCTCTGTCTCTGGTGAATCCTCTCACCATCCCGCGCATCTGGACTGTACCCGGGCTCTTGTATAAAATAAATAAATAAATCTTAAAAACAAAAACAACTTTTATTTTATTCAAGGCACTAAAGGTGATACACAGGTGAGTGAGACCAGGTCCCTGTCTACCTGGATTTTGTACTTTAATTGGGATTCAGACCACCGTAATACGAGGTAGCACAAGAGGAAAACTACTGGTGTTCAAAGGCAAGAAAGAAGTACATTCTGTTGGTGAAATCATGGATGGACACATGAAGGAAGTGGTATTTGTGGTGAGAGAAAGATTGGAGACTGAGAAAGATTTATCTGCAGGGTGGAGAGTAAGAAGGCATTTTGGTGGAAGGACTATCACAAACAAAAGCACAGAACCAGGAAGAAGCACAGGGCATGTTTAGGGCACAGCAAGTAATCCAGATTCCCTGGAGAGCTGTCTGGGGGTGAGGGGGAAGAGCTGTCTGAGGGTGAATGATAGTATGCCAAATCTCGAATGTAAGAATGAAGTGTTTGTACTCAATATTATAATCCATGGAGGAGACTGCTAAAGGTTTATGGGAGAAAGGAATAAGATCATGGAATTACAGAAATTTTGAATTTAAGATCCCCACTCCCATTTTACAGGCAAGGGAATCAAAAAAATAATCCAGAGAATTTGTCAGATTACTAAATTCAAATTCTTTGCATTATACCAGCGGCATGCAAGATTACTCTGGCTGCAGTTGTGTAAGAAGGCAAAGGAGAGAATTCAGACCAGTGTGGCATCTATTATAAAAGCCTAGGGAAGAAGTTCAAGTGGGATCATGAGGAAGAGCGGAAGGGCAATGGTTTGAGAAGGGGCTGGGAGAGCCCATGAAACCTCTTTTCTCTCTCCTCCATGGGGCTCAGAGCCCCACATAGCTGTTCACATCAGAGGAAGGGCATTGGATTTCACTCACTGGCAGGTCCAGAAAGCAAGGAGTCTACTGTTCTTTTCTTGTTCAGACTGTGAACTCTTATCCCTCCCAACCTTCCTTAGATACTGTGGATTCTCTAGAAAGAGGACAGAAAAGAGGCCAGAAATCGTGCTAGCAGTTACTAGAAGCATCCTTGGAACTGTGCCTTTATGGAACTAGTAGATGATTTTTGGATTCAGGCAACACTGAAGGTTTTCTTTCTGGCTTTACTAGGAGTGTGCCTAGGCTCAAAACCTCAGCTCAAAACCACTTGGCAAATAAAGGTAATGTAAGCACAGAAGAGATTGCCCTCTGAGTGTCTGACCCATGCAGGGATGTCAGTCATAGAGGGGGCCCTTCAGTGCCAGTCTCTGGGTCACCAGTCTCATTCCAGGTCTCCTGCCTTCTGCCTTATCCCTTGTCCTGACCCTTCAGTATCTCTCCTCTGTGACTTTTTACTTGAACAGTTTTATCAACTGAGAACTGGGATGTCATGAGTCTGAGTACGTCTGACAAAGATAGATGTGGCAAAAGCTTAATAGTAGGTGTGAATGCTGAACACCCAGTTGCGCAGAATTCTAAGTCAGTTATCCACCTCATCTCTTCTATGTGGCCTTCCCTTTGTAATAATTGTATAAAGACAGAACCAAGAAAGAAATCTTGAGAGGTAGTTTTTAGGCTATATGAACAGAACATCAACCCAACAGATTATTTTCTGACCAGAGGAATAAATATACATCATGGGCACTCAATAAAGAAGACCAGGGAATCAATGCCACCTTTTCATCCAGGTCTTGGTCATTTCCTCTTTTTTATGAGCTAAAAGGTTGACCATCCTCAGGCCTCCCTGGTGGCACAGCACTATGGAGCAATCCGCAGCCTCTGCAGCACAAGTTCAATCCCCGGCCGGCCAGGGAGCAACCCACATGGTGCCCGCTGTTCCCCTCAGCAGTGTGTTTCAGTCAGTCTGCCTGTTCTATTCCCCGCTCTGTCTCTGGCGGATCCTCTCACCCCCCGCATATCTGGTCTGTACCCCAGCTCTTGTATGTATAAATAAATAAATCTTTAAAAAAAAAAAAAAAGAAGTTGACCATCCTCAAGATCCACTGATTTCAAATGACCATATGGGACAAAATCACTTTCCACTGGAAACTGTGTCCAAACAATGCTGGTATAGAGCAGGTACTCAAAAATTCTTAGTTTTGTTTCCCTTCCCCAGGACCCTCCTCTAGGGCCAGATCATGCTGACACCTCATGCCTGATGAAGAGGACTACTCTGGACTTTGTTAAGAGAACAACCTTAAGAGTCCTTCTGTAATGATGGAATGCTGTACATCATGGTGTTTAGCAAGCAATCTCTGGAGGCAGACAACCTCCATTCAAATCTCAACTCTGCTAATTATGAGCTTATAATCTGACCTCTTTATACCTTGATTTCATCATCTATAAAATGGGGATAATAACAGGTAGCTGATAGGGTTGGCATGAAGAATAAATGAGTGAACAAGATAGGACGTATAAAGGACTTTGCATAATAAGTACTTAATGAATTTTAGCTGTTTTTAACAAGCCAACTCTGAAGTTTGAGTCTACTAAACATCTGGTGATTAGTAGCTTAGGGGTAGAGGCCAATGAAGGTGATGAAGGTGTCATCAGGATGGACCTGTTGTGCATAGGGGCAGTATTGCAATACTTTGTCAACAAGTAAGAGATTAGAAAGTAGTGGCTCCCTAAATGCCTTACTTGAGCAATAGCTTTAGTCACCTCTGTAATTCCTCTAACCTGGGTGACTATTGGTGTAAGGTTGTCATAGACAGGCATGTATATGGCCTAGTAAGATGAGAAGGCCAGAGAAAGCAAGAGAGTGCTCTAGACATTTATTTCAGGGTGATTTTTTTTTTTTTTTTAGCTCCTCCTAACTTTCACTTGGGGTTTTTTCTGGGCATCAGGCCCATCAAACGCCTGGTATTCTGGGCTGATGGTGCTAGAAGGGACTTAGAATGACCTAGGTTTGGAGCTCCAGAAGCCAAAAGCATAGTGAATAGTGACTAAGTGGTCCAAGGTCATCCAGCTAGTCAGTTCAAAACTGGGGCAGTTCTCAACAGCCTGGCGACCTGGGTAGTGCTCATGCTACCACACCACCTGGCTCTTTGGTTTCCAGGACTCTCAGCTAACTTTTGGTCCTGTCTTCAACTGGACATGCTTCCCTGGTGCATACCATGCCGCCTCCTCAGCTCTCTGGTCTGCAGTCCCTGCCCCTGGGGCATCAGATACTCACAGGCTCCCTCCTGTCAGCTCTTGCCTGCACACATCCTTGACCTGTACCAGCCTGCCAACCTGCCCACTCCTGGCCGGGGTGGTTCTGTGCATGAGGCCCAGAGGGGTCAGAGGTGACTCAGAAGGGGCACCCAGGAGGACTCTTCTCTTTGCCACAAAAGCTGTTTTTCTCTCCCTGGGTCTTCTCTTTCACTCCCTCTTTTCCTGTCTTCCTCACACTCCAATCCCCCTCAGACTTGCTCCTCTGCTTCCTCTTCCCTTCACCTGTTTTCTCTCTCACCCCAGCCCCTACCCCTCCTCTTCTTCCTTCCCGAATCTTGTGCTCTGCCTCTTTTCTTCTCCTTTCCTCTCCCTGTCTTCTTTCCTCATTCCTTCCTCTCACCCTTCAACACATCTGTTTCTAATCTGAGCCGTTGAGGCGCCTGTTTGAAACAAAAAAGCTCCCCCCACCCTCAGAAACCTGGCACCAAAATTTCTGAATAAACCTTCCCTCCCCCAATTCTCCAGTTCCCCTTAGATACTCCCCGAAACAAAACACCACCCCCTCCAAGGACCCTCCACATCCAGTGGTTCACGGCCCAACTCGACCAGGAAACACCCCCAGCCCGAAGTCTGCTCCAGGGCCCAGATGTGAGAGATTTTCCATGGCCGCCTGGGCGGCCCTCTGCCGCCAGATGTGCTCCTCCCGAGCCGGGAGGCAGGACACAGGAGTCCGGCGCACCCCGGGGGCTGGGGGTGGGGTTGGGGGGGACACAGCGGTTCAGAAGCCGCGAGGTGGCGGGGACGCAGGTCTGTGTTGGCCGGGGGCCCCCCGATCTCCGCCTCGCGGGGTCACTCACCTAGCCAGAGGAGGAGGAGGCGGAGGGACATCCCGATGCCCGGACGCGGGCGCTTCCCCGCTCAGCCGCCGCCTGGCTCCGAGACCGCCGGGCGCAGCCGACGCGCCTCCGGCTAGCTGGGCGCTGCGCCTCGGGGTGCGCGCGGGGTGGCCACAGCCATGTGCGGGCGCGGGAGACGGCCCCGCGCCCCGCTCCCCGGTGCTGGCGCCCCGAGCTCCCCGGCGCAGAGGGGCTTCCAGTGCTCGCCCCACCAGCTCGCTGCCGGGCGGGAGCGGGGACCAGGGTCCGGGAGGGAAAGGCGAGGCGAGAAGGCTCTACCGCTTCGTGGAACACTTTTCCCTGTTTGGAAAGAAAAGGGAGTGAAGAAAGAGAGAAGGGGAAAAAAATAGAGTGAGCTGGAACCACATGGTTGCCTCCCACCGGCAGCCCCTCCCTCTCTCGCTCGCTCGCTCGCTCCCTCCCTCCTGCGTTTGGGATGAGCCGCGGGGCCGACCCGCCCGGGGTGAAGCTGGAGTTGGCCCGGCCGGGGCTCCACCCTGGGGGGCGCGGGGCGCAGGGAGTGCAAAGGGGGATTCGGGCCCTGCAGAAGCGTTGGATGTAGGATTGATCGCCGGGAGGAGAGAATCGGGGACACTTCAGCCAGGGGGGAAGGATGAGGCCTTCTGGAGTCTTCTCAGTCTCTGCTCTCACCTTGCCCTTCTCTCCACTTCTCTTGTGCATCTTTTTCTAGCTCCTACTCTCGCTGCTGCCATTTCCATTTCTCTCACAAGTCTGTCTGTCTTCTCTCCCCCCTCCTCACACACCATTTACATTCTTTTTGCTGCTTCTTTCTCATCTCCTCCTTTTTCTCTCTTTCTTCACTCTTTCCTTTGCTCCTCTGGCCTAGCTGTCTGGCGCTGTCCCCATGACACTGCAGGCTGACCGTAGGGACAATGCAGCGTGGAAGGGACAGGACAGTCAAGCACCAGTCTTCTGCTGGTTGCTCTCCTTGTTATAGGGCAGCCCCGATATTGAACGGGTTCCTGGCTGTGGGTCCTCACCCGCGCGCTTAAAAGGGACTTATGAATACTCTACTACAGGCACACACAAAAGGTTAATAAAAGGTTTATTTACAAGGGAAGAGAAAATAAGGAAAATGTACAACTCAGGGAGAAAATAGGGAAATAAAGTCTTTAATGCGTCCTACCCGATCCGCCGACCTGAAAACCCAAAGTCACTCTCAGAGCTGGCCTGACGCTGCGAGCAGGCGGAGAGCCAAAATGGGGTCCCCCCAAAGCCCACGTGTCTGCCTTTTATATCCACCTGGCTGTTTAACCCCACCCTCAGGTCCCAGCCACCTTCCCTTTGGTGGTGATGGGATTTGGAGTTCCCAGTATCTTTGGCTTTGGCCTGGGGTGGGGGTGGAGTCCACAAAGCCTGTATGGAATTAGCTTTAGGACAGCCTTTTCCCCCTAACATCCTGACTGTGCTGCCTGGCTCGACACCTCACAGCCATCTTTGCCTTAGCCTTTCACATTCACTCTTTTTCTTTTTGCGGTATGCATAGCAGATCCAGGCAGTGCTAGACTAGTCATCTCCCCAGGGGAGTGGCAATCCAGAGTTAAGTGCAACTGGTCTGTTAGGAAGCATTGGAGCAAACTGCACTGCACATGGTCTTGGCCAAAATATGTACCAGTCCCTCAGAAAGAAAGGAAAACAGGGGCTTCCCAGGTGGAGCAGAGGGTTGAGAGCCATGCTGTGAAGCTGTCCGCAGCCTCTGCAGTGCGGGTTTGACTCCTGGCCTGCCAGGGAAAAACCCACATGGCATGGCAGACCTCTCCTGACTCGCCCGCTGCTCCCCTCAGCAGTGTCTTTGGTCCCGTCTGCCAGTTCTGCTCCTTGCTCTGTCTCTGGTGAATTCTCTCACCCTCCCGCGCCGCTGACCTGACCTGTACCCCAGTTCTTGTATAAATAAATCTTTAAAAAAAAAAAAAGAAAGTGTTGTAGAGCAACCCCAATACAAAACGGGGTGCCTGACTGTGGGTCCTCACCCGCGCACTTAAAAGGACTTATCAATGCTCTACTGCAGGCACACGTGAAAGGTTAATAAAAGGTTTATTTACAAGGGAAGGGGAAATGAGGAAATGTACAGCTCTGGGAGAAAAGTGGGAGACAAAGTTTTAAATGAGTCCTACCCGATCCCCCGATCAGGAATCCCAAAATGGCCCTCTCAGAGTTGGCCGCCAGCCAGGAGCCGTGAAGCCAGGAGGCCTGCGATCGTGAGCCAGAGAGTGCCCAAGGCCCACGTGTTTGGTTTTTATATCCAACCTGGCTACCCAACTCCACCCTCAGGTGGTGATGGGATTTGTCTTTCCCAATGTCTTGATGGCTTTAGTCTGGAGTGGGGGTGGGGTCCACAAAGCCTGTATGGGATTAACTCAGGACATCATTTCCCCCTAACAAAAGAAAGGAAAACAGAGTGCCAAGAACCCAGTCTGGGAGGTTGGCTGAAGGAAGGGGCCACAGGGGAGGAGGGGCAGGAGAGGGCCAGAGGGCTGAGTTTGGGGAGCTGAGTAGCCCCTCAGACCTCTTCAGCCCACTGAGGATGGGTGATTTGGGGTCTACCCTTAAGTCCCCTCAGCTCAGTGGTGGCCAGTGAGGACTAGAGAAAGAAAGAGCTGTGATGACCATGCTCAGGTTGCAGCTTCCTGGAGCAACGCTGCTGTGTGTTCTGGGGTCCTAAGAAACCCTGGGCCTGAACTCCGGATGCAGCCTCTGGATCTCCCTGGAGCAGTGGTTTCTCCTTGGCCACACTGAGGCATGAGGAGCCTTGCACCTTAAATCACACCCATGCCTACACTGGAGGCTGGGGACAGTGCTCTGAGAAACGGGGTGCCTATAAGAGATGGACCCCTCCAGAAATGGCCGACATTCACCCCATCTTTCCAGTCCTCTCTCTCCAGGGCTCTTTCCTTCCTCCCTCCCTCCCTCTCTCTCTCTCTCTCTTTCTTAGAAAACAGAAGTCTTTTACACTTTTTCATGTAATGATGTAAAATACAAACACTGACTTGACATATAACAAAATCCAGAGGAACTGCTAGAATCACTCTGGAACATACTGCATTCGTATTCTAAAAGCTTATTCAGTCCATTTCTTCTGTTGTCCCCTCAAACATTTTCATTATGTTGTTGGATGAGATAGAGTCACAGAGAGGCAGAGGTGCCCCAGGTCCCTCCAACGCCCAGCCCAGTCACTTTGGTTTCTATGTGGCAGCTCCAGGGGTTATATCCCCTGGGCTACAGTGTCCTCTAATTATCTACTTCTTCCTGGTTGCTGTGAAAACCAGCCCATTTCACAGATGAGGAAAGCAGAGCCCAGATAAGGTTGTGGGTTCTTAGGTGGCTCAGAAGAAACAGCAAAAGCAAGCGTTGGGATTAGCTGAAGAATTGCTGCAGCCCAGCGCCAGGATGTATCCCTTCCCTCCCTGCTTCTTAAATGCCTGTTTTTTATGCATCTGCTAGGGGGCAGGTACTTTTTTTTCAGGTGTGGAGGACACAAAGGGACTAGAAGTTGGGTTTTTTAAACATTTAGAACAGTTGTTCATGGCACCAATGGTGGACTAAAAAACATTAATTATTTACTACTTATTTTTTAATTTAATTCTTATGACAATGTATTTTTTATTACCAATGTATTTTTTATTTAAAAAGGAGGACACTGGGCTTCCCTGGTGGCGCAGTGGTTGAGCGCTGGGTTGCGAGGCTGCCCGCAGCCTCTGCGGCGCTGGTTCGATCCCTGGGTGCTCCCCGGCCACTGGAGGAGGGTCCCACATGGCCCGCAGATCTCTCCTGACGCCAGCTGCTCCCCTCAGCAGTGTACCTCGGTCCTTCTGCCTGCTCTGCTCCCCGCTCTGGCGCTGGTGAATTCTCTCACCCTCCCGCACTTCTGACTGTACCCAGTGCATGTATAAACAAACAAACAAACAAACAAATAAATAAACAAATAAAACATGCCTCTATAAAAAAAATAAAATTAAAATAAATAAAATAAAAAAAATAAAATAAAAAGGAGGACACTGTAAACTAGAGAGGTCAAATATCTTACCCTACACCACAAAACATTAAAACCACTTGGTTCTAATATTAACAGTTGAATTTAATATTCTAAAATAATATTATTTTTATATTATAAAATGTTTAAAAGGTCTCTGACTCTGAGTACTTTTCTTTTCATTTTATACTCCTTGTCTAATAAGGGAAATAGAAATATTCAACACTATAATTCTTTTGTTTTTAATTTGTAAATATATATTTTTTACATCATTATTCATTTTTGTACTGTTTGCTTTGTCCTCTCAGGTGTAATCCCCATAAAATTCCCACCATCAAGTAACCTGTGAACCATCACCATAGACTTTTTTTTTTTTTTTTTTTTTTTTATAGAGGCATGTTTTCTTTCTTTCTTTCTTTGTTTTTGTTTATACATGCACTGGGTACAGTCAGAAGCGCGGGAGGGTGAGAGAATTCACCAGAGCCAGAGCGGGGAGCAGAGCAGGCAGAAGGACCGAAGTACACTGCTGAGGGGAGCAGCGGGCGACAGGAGAGGTCTGCGCGCCATGTGGGACCCTCCTCCGGTGGCCGGGGAGCAGCCGGGGATCGAACCGGCGCCGCAGAGGCTGTGGGCAGCTTCGCAACCCAGCGCTCAACCGCTGCGCCACCGGGGAGGCCCATCACCATAGACTCTTGTGCTCTTCCCTTCCCTGTTTTAATCCCTTTCCCTCACTCTCCCCTGCTGAATGTCTCTGATGTATAGTTGCCAACTAGTTTTGTTTTTTTTTCCCTCTGATCCCTTATTTGGTTTCCCTATATTCCTCCTATAAGTGAAACTATCCAATTTTTTTCTTTTTTTTTCTGACTTATGTCACTGAGCATAATCCCTTCCAGCTCCATCCAAGTTGCTCAAGTGGCATAAGTTTATCTTTTTGATTACTAAGTAGTATTCCATTGTGTATATACACCAGACCTTGATCTAGTCATCTGTTTGGGGGCATTTAGGTTGTTCCCATATCTTAGCTATTGTAAATAGTGTTGCAATAAACAAGAGTGCTGGTTTCCTT